TGGGGGAGGGGGGAAGGGGAGGCAGCAGTGGGGAAGAGACAGAAATCTTTAATTAATTAATAAAGAAATAAATAAATTTAAAAAAAGAAAAGGGATATTTGTTGTGACCAAAATATTTTCTATGGGGTAAAAAAGCTACCAACACAGAAATCAAAAACATGTACACCTAAAATGATTTTCACAAAACACCCCAAGTTATTTTGCAAATATGGATGGTGAATTTTTACCAGACCCCACATTCAGCTCACCAGGGACATGACCTCTGATACACTATTAAATACCAAACAATCAGCTATTAACAAATTTCCATATGATATATAATTTATGAAGTAAATGAGTGTGATAAAATATATTGGTTGTATCCAATTGTACAAGGAAATTTGTTCACCTGTGGTCATTACAGGATCCTTTGTCATAGATAGAAACTGGAAAGAATATGGGTGCCCATCAACACAATAATGAATAAAGAAAATGTGGTGCATTTGTACATCAGAGAACTAGTCAGTGATGAAAATCATTTAATCTTGAAATTTGCATGCAAATGGTTTATGCACATGAAAATAAAAATGAATATATGAGCAATCGTAACAGAGATCTCACACCTAGGAATTAAATCAAAGTTTGCTGTAAATAAAGAAATCTATATCAGATCATTTTTCTAATTTCTTTTCTTTCTTCTTTTTTTTTTCTTTTTCAAGACAGGGTTTCTCGGTAGCTTTGCAGCCTCTACTGGAACTACCTCTTATAAACCAGGTTGGCCTCAAACTCACAAAGATCTGCTTGTCTCTGCCTATGGAGTGTAGGGATTAAAACCATGCACCACCACCGCCCAGCTCAGATCTCCTTTTCCATATCACTTAACCAACTCACTTTATATGATAATAGAAATTGAAAATTGTAAAGAGAAAGATAGGAAAGATTTATCCTGAGCCCTGCTTCAGAAAATTAGGGCAAACTAAGAATTCATGCTTGGTGGTTGAACTTGAACGTCTCTGCTTGATTTACCCGAATAGCTAACAAAAATAAGGCCTCCATTTCTGTCTGGGTATTCCAGATTGTGACTCTGGGCTGAGCAGTGGTTGTGTTTCCTTTATGTGATTTGCCTGTGTCTCTTTGCAAAAGTGTTATGCTTGTGTGTATGAATCATACCACAATATCAGATATTTATGGTATAAGAGTGTAGTACACATGTTACTTAGTCTAAGTGGGTGGGTGCACCCCTCACAATCCTGATTTCTTTGCTCATGTTCTCCCTCCTTCTGTTCCTCATTTGGACCTTGGGAGCTCAGTAGAGTGCTCCAATGTGGGTCTCTATCTCTATCTCCATTCATCGCCAGATGAAGGTTCTATGGTGATATGCAAGATATTTCAAGATATTCATCAGTATGGCTATCAGGATCGGGCCATTTCAGGCTCTCTCTCCTCAGCTGCCCAAGGACCTAGCTGGGGACATCTCTCTGGACCCCTGGGAACCCTTCTAGAGTCAAGACTCTTGACAATCCTAAAATGGTTCCCATAATTATGATATATACTTCCCTGCTCCCATATCCACCCTTCTTTTATCCCAACCATCCCATTCCACCAAGCTCTCCCCATCCTTTGGTTTTAGGAAACAGCATCTGCAAATGTTACCGCTTCATATTTTCATAGGTTCTAAGGGGATTCAAATCTAAATAGAAAAGCACTAGCTTTAGAAGCAGCTTTCTAATTCTTACAGATGAGACAGGAGCAGATCACTCTGAGCTATAAGGCTGGGAATCATAAAAATACCTGTATTTGCTGATGTCACAGACTCTGGCTCCTGAACAAGGGAGGAGCAGTCTGCCTTTTCTAGGCAACAGTAGAGTCAGGCTTTGGTTATATCCAGGTCCAAATGAGACCTGGGCTATAGCAATAGCCTGACTGATAGGAACCCACACTGCTGACGCTTTTATTAGCGCTCCTGGGCTCTGGTTGGAAAAAGTATGCATTCAAACTGATCATTAAAAAAAAAAGAGCCAATAAGGAGAGTGATCTCAATTCCAGCAATGGACAGATACTATGAGGTAACCTAGAGATATTCACAAATGCCAATTCATTCCTGTCTCCCACATTAATTGTGTTGCAGCAGAAGGGACAAAACTGAATAGGGATGTAATTTTCCCTAGGTACTGACTTCAGTTATCAAGAAATATGTCGCAAGTAAGAGATGATCCTATATTCATCTACCAGGTCCTATATCCTGGCTTTATATATGAAAGCTTCCATTTCTGCAAGAAGTGGGGTTATTATGAATTTACTGCAAATTGCTTCTTTCTCCTGTCATTTTCTGTTGTGCCATGTCAGATTCCAAACATGCAATGTTTAAATGCTTACATTTCTCCCATTATTCAATAAACAGGAGAGTCTGAAGGGACTTGTTTATGTTATCAATCAAAAGGTTACATTCATCCCTACTCTGAATATTTTTAATTGTATACTGTATTCAGCAGTGTCCACTGATTAAGTAATAACTTGAGGCATTCATTTTAGAAATAAGGATTCGTAACACTTGTATTCTTTCAGAAATTACTCATTAGTACATAAGAATTAATATGTGGTTTCACAAATGTCTGCAGGCATTTGGCATAAATTTCTATTTTACATAGTAATACCATACTAATAAAATATTCTCTTTAATATAATATGAGAATATTGAAATTTATAAAACAATCACATCTTATAAATGAAGCTGTACCTTCAGAAGCAGGATCCTACCTGCGGCATAGGAATCAGGATCAGGTGATATGGAGCTATAATGCCGGGAAAAAAGTAAGGCCTGCCTTTGCTGCATTTCACCTGCTACAATTCCTTAATATGTGAGGCACATTCTGCCCAGTCTGGGTGCTAGATCAGTGGGACTCTGGTCATACCCACGTCCTACTGAGCCCGGGACTATAGCCAGAGCCCCACTGGAAAGAAGCTGCACTGCTGACGCTTTTATAAGCACTCCTAGGCTCTGATGGAAGGAGTTTGGGCATGCAAATTGAGCATGAATTAAAGACCAATGAGGAGAGTGATCTCCGTTCCAGCAAAGACGGCAAATACTGTGGTAATCATGGAGATATCCACCAGAGCTGCCAATTCATTCTTGTCCTGACCGGAAGTTATTTTGCAGCTGAAGCTGAGAAATTGAAATTGGATGTGATGCAAAAATCTGATTATCCTGGGTTCGGACTCAAATATCTACAAAACAAAACGAAACACCTGTGTCCAGTATGGTCCAATCTGCTATCTACTACCATGCCTCCTTGCAGGCTATGTACTTGAAAGATAAAATTTCTGACTGTAGGTGGGTGATTATGAATCTTTGCTATCAATTGCTTCTTTCTGCTCTAATTTTTTTTTTCATTTTTGTCATTTTGGCACAGTAAACAGGAGCAGGTGCTTCAGAGCAGAAGTAACAGGTATCACAGCACTTTCCTGTCTGTGCTATGTCTTCACTAGCTCTGCCTCCCGCGGGTGTCAGCAGCAGGCTTCCTTCTCTGGAGCAGTTTACTGTCAGGCTGTGGCTAGATCAGCCACCAGCTGATAGCTGGACTCTAGCCAGGAGCCTGACTGCTAAAATGCCCAGCTGAGGAAATCTTTATTCGCTGTGTTTGCCTCTCATTGGAGGAGTGTGTGCCTTCTACGTGAGAATTAATTAGTTTAGAACCAATCAGAGGAGAGACGTCAATTGTCAGCATAGAAAGCAGAAAAAAAAAGCCTGCAGTAACCTAGGTGATTTCCACCAGAGCTAGTGAATCATCTTTCCCTCCCTCCTCACTGTCTGATGCAACAGACACAGGGGAAGTGAAAGGGAAAGATAGGAAAAAGACAAATTTATACCCTGAGCTCTAGCTACCTAAGTCCCCCTATACTCTCTCTCTCTTTAATAATTGAGATCATTTAAGTCATTAGTGAGTTCACACATACAATGTTTAAAGGCTTAAACTTGTTTGTGTTATAAATCAAAAGGTTTCATTCATCCCTACTCTGAATATTTTTAATTGTACACTGTATTCAGCAGTGTCCACTGATTAAGCAATAACTTGAGGCATTTATTTTAGAAATAAGGATTCATAACACTTGTATTCTTTCAGATATTACTGATTAGTTCATAAGAATTTATATGTGGTTCCACAAATGTCTGCAGGCATTGGCATAAATTTCTATTTTACATAGTCATACCATACTAGTAAAAGTTCCTGTTTAAAATTAATATGAGAATATTGAAATTTAGAAAACAATCACATCGTATAAATGAAGCTGTACCTTCAGAAGCAGGATCCTTCTTGCTGGGAGGAATCAGGATCAGGTGATATGGAGCTATAAACCTGGGAAACAAGCAATCCCTGCCTTTGCTGCATTTCACCTGCTATGACTCCTGAATATGTGAGCAGCATTCTACCCAGTCTGGGTGCTTGATCAGTGGGGCTCTGGTTATACCCAGGTCCTACTGAGCCCTGGACTATAGCCAGAGCCCCACTGGGAAGAAGCTGCACTTGTGACGCTTTTATAAGCACTCCTGGGCTCTGATTGAAGGAATTTGGGCATTCAAATTAAGCATGAATTATGGACCAATGAGGAGAGTGATCTGAGTTCCAGCAAAGAAGGCAAATACTGTGGTAACCATGGCCATCTCCGTCAGAGCTGCTGATTCATTTTTATCCTGACCGGAAGTTGTTTTGCAGCTGAAGCTGAGACATTGAAATTTGATGTGAGGCAAATATGCTGATTCCCCTGTGTTCGGACTCAAAAATCAACAAAACAAAACGAAACACCTGTGGCCAGTATGTTTCGATCCTTTATCTGATACCATTGTCTCCATCTAGGCTACGTACTTGAAAGCATAATTTTATGACTGCAGTTTGGTGATTAAACATCTTTGCTGCCAATTTGCTTCTTTCTGCAGTCATTTTGTGTTATGCCTTTTCTGAGCCCCATGTATGTTTAAATTCTTACGTTTTATCAGTTATCTAATATATGAGTGACTGAAATGACATGCTTTTTTATAAGTGGAAATGTTATTTTCACCCAATCTCCGAACGTCCCCAATTTGGGTACTCTATGCAACAGTGTCCTATTGATTAAGCAATAATCTGTGGCATGACTTTTAAACAAAAATAGTCAACATACTTGAATTGTCAGAAATTGCACGTTTGTTTATAAAATATTATTTATGGTTCCACAATGCCCGCATGCATTTGATATTAATTTGATTTTACAGAGCAACATCATACTCTTAAAATATGCTTATTATACTAACACGGGAATATAGATAATTAGAAAAAAACTCACATCTTGAAAGAGAAGCAGGACCTTCAAAACCAGGATCCGATTTGCTGCATAGGACACAGGATCAGGTGACTCGGAGCTATAATGCTGGGAATCAAACAATCCCAGTCTTTGCTGCTTTCCACCACTCTGACTCTGGCAAAACTGAGGAGCAGTCTGCCTAGTCTGGGCAACTGTACAGCCGAGTTTGGTTATACCAGGTCCTACTGTGAAACCTGGACCATAGCCAGAGCCCGACTGGAAAGAGACTGCGCTGTGAACGCGTTTATCACTCTTGGACTCTGACTGAAGGAGTGTGTGCATTCAAAGTGAGCAGGAAATAAGGACCTATGAACAGAGCAATCGCAATTTCAGCAATTAAGGCAAATCATGGGGTAACCTTGGAGATGTCTGTTTTAGATGCTTTTTTTTTTTTTTTTTTACTCTCACCTATGTGTGTGCTGCAGCAGAAGGAGTGAAATTGAAAGTGAACGACAGGAGAAATTGTCACTTACAATCGACTGTGACTCCAAGTGATAAATTGAAAAAAAAAAAAAGAAAAGAAAAGAAAAGAAAAAACAACCTCTGGCAAATAGCACTTCAGCCTGTATTGGCCTCTGGGGCACAGTACCTGGTTACATACCTGATAGAATGAAGCCTCCTTTTGTGATTCTGCGCTGCCTATTACTCCTTATAGCTCTCATTTTCTGATTTGCCAAATAAACTTTCCCAAATTCAATGATTAAATCGTTGACTGTTAGCTCTCTCTCTCTCTCTCTCTCTCTCT